CTTCATGGGAAGGCATGTAATATTGATAGCTGCGGTCCAAGAGACGAAGTTGCACAGCAATTCATCATTGTTGAGTTGTCCCACTGCTCAAACCGGGGAAAGCAGCTAACAAAGGAGTCTTATCGTCCGATAAACCCTCCTTTCCCCAGTAGCGAAGACATAAGAGGCCTTGCTACTCCCGTATTTTGCGAACCACCTGACCCAAGCGAAGCATAAGCATCGTTTCCGTAAAGTGCACAGCACAACAACAGCAATTAACGCTATAAATACTCAGATAACACGTGGCCTTAACCGCAACCGCCCCTGTGAGAGAACTATTCTAGTAGCGTTGGACCTGTCAAAGGCGTTTGACACCGTCAGCCACTCCACGCTGCATAGAGGCCTCCTCACTCCCACAGAGACTCAAACAGTGGTCAGCGAATTATCTGAGTGGTCGACACCCGTCAGCGTTGTTTAAAGGCAAATCAAGCAAACTTAGAAAAATAAAACAGGGAGTTCCACAGGGTGATGTCCTTTCCCCACTACTGTTTAAATGTTATATTCCCAAGCTCCCTCAACCACCAGAGGTCAGACTACCGCTCGGTATTCACGTCGATGACACACCAATTCCGACGGTGAATAATCCTAAAATACTCGGAGTAACATTCGACAGTGTGCTCTCCTTCTCTGCGCAAACAACCGCAGTTGTCAACAAAGTACAGGCGGGCAGTACCTGTGGCAAAGACAAAGAAACGTTGCTGGCAACATACAAGGCAATTGGCCGGTGGGGGACCAGTAGGACGCAGTGGATGAAGCTACAGACAGCACAAAACACCTCACTATGGACAGCGACCGGCCGGCCCACGACAGCCGGTTCTACGTACCGGAATGACTCGGATTTCACCCGACCAAGGGCTGTTGTTTCGGCGATCTGACCCCGTTTAGGTCGGCGAAGTATCTCAGAAGTTGTCCGTCCATAGGGCAACATTCACTACGCATTCTCCTACTCAGGGCTGGCATCGAGTCAAACCCTGGGCCAGAAATATACACCTGCTGTGTATGCCGAAGACGATTACACCACAACTCCACCTCAGTCAAGTGTAATGCCTGCGAGGGGTGGAGTCACCTCAGGGTCTGCTCGGGACTACGGACACACAGACAGTGGACCACGTCGTACGTGGCCCCCTGTTGCTCAAACAGAGCAGCCTCCACGGCAAACCATAGTCCGCCCGTGCAGCCCCACACACTCACACAGCAACCACACACAGTCGCCACAACACAACAACATAATAACACCACAGACCGTACCACAGCCACCACAGACCACATAACACACACAACCGCACCACCACCCACACGCCGCCGCCAACAACTCCTGGTTCCCCCTACAATCTGCACGGTATGTCAGACCAGAATATTCAGTATTGTGACATCAGTCAAGTGCAACACCTGCCTTGGCTGGTGCCACTTTAGGGCATGTTCAGGTCTGCGTACCACGCGAGATTGGACGGGGAACTTCGAGGGCCCGTGTTGCGCTGCTCGGTCGCAGACTTCAATTGCGACACCCCCCACCACCACCACAGGGCGGCAGTCACCTCAGCAGCACACACAGCCAACGGCGGCAAGAACATACACCTCACTTACACCCCACATCACGACACGTCTTATCGAAGCAGACATCGACCGCAGGGATACCACCCTAGAATGTCAGGGCATCGCTATCCGGTCAGGCGATGTCGAGCTCGAAATATTTAACATATACATACCCCCTGTCACCTGCTGCCCGGCAGGATATCACCCGGATATAGGTGCGCTCCTCAGAGGTGAAAACCGTATGGTAGTAGGTGACTTTAATGCGCACCACAATCTTTGGCACTCAAGCCTGTCAAACGATCGTAGGGGAACAGACTTGGCTGAGCAGATAGACGATTCGACATTCTCCACAATGAACGACGACGCACCCACCAGGATTATGGGTAACTGCAGTAGCTCGCCAGACATCACAATAGTCAGCGCTGGTCTGATAAACAGCATAACGTGGCGACCTATGCTGACTCTAGCATCAGACCATCTACCCATAGTCATCTCGATTGATAAACCAACCGACTTTGCCTCCGCCAAGCACCGGACCTATATCAACTTTTCCAAAGCTGATTGGAAAGGTTACGCGGAGTTTACCGAAAACACCTTCGCAGCGCTCCCCTCACCAACCGACGTCCATCTCGGTGAACGTAAGTTCCGCAGGGCTATCACTGCTGCTGCAGCTCGCTTCATACCGGCAGGACGTGTATCGGACCCACGTCCAAACTTCCCTGCCGAAGCGGCAGTTCTAGCTGATGACCGTGATAGCCTTCGTCAGGCCGATCCCGGAGATCCCCGTATCAGGGATCTCAACGCGGAGATTCGGCAACTTGTAAACGTACATAAGCGGAAGAAGTGGGAGGAGCACCTGAAGACTTGTAATTTCACCTCTGGTGTGAGCAAGCTTTGGTCAACCGTGAGGTCATTGTCTAATCCGACGAAGCACGACGACAGAGTCGAAATTTCCTTCGGCGACCATGCTTCGTCGGACCAGGAGCGATGCGCGAGCTATTTTAGCCGGCAGTTCATACTGCATCCTCCGGTGGACAAAGCCAAGCGTCGAGTGATCAGAAGGCTGCACAAACTGCCAACAACTTGTGCCCGCCTTGCTTTCACTTGCGGTGAAGTTCAGGTGGCCATCGGGAAGGCGAAAGCCTCCAAAGCCATGGGTCCCGACGGAATATGCATGCTGATGCTGAAAAATTTGGGTCCTGCGGGGGTAGCGTACCTAACGGAGGTCCTCAACTTGTCAATGGCCACTCTCATCATCCCAGACATCTGGAAGGTGGGGAGAGTGGTCCCACTGCTCAAACCGGGGAAACCTGCCAACAAAGGAGACTCGTATCGTCCGATAACACTCCTTTCCCCGGTAGCGAAGACACTCGAGGCCTTGCTACTCCCGTACTTCACAAACCACCTGACCCCAGCGAAGCATCAGCATGGTTTCCGTAAAGTGCACAGTACAACAACAGCACTTAACGCCATAAACACTCAGATAACTCGTGACCTTAACCGTAACCGTCCCTGTGAGAGAACGATTCTAGTAGCGTTGGACTTGTCAAAGGCGTTTGACACCGTCTGCCATTCCACGC